ATATTATTCTTGCATGTAGTAATTCCGCTTTAAAGATAGAGAAATCAATAAACTATATTAGATCTAGGTGGTTCATGATCTAAATGTGTATTTATTGTGAGACAACTTTTAAAAGCTACAGGTATCCTCATAGTGCGACAAAGGGTTGCCACACCTCGTGCTACCAACTGCAACATCTGTTACAAATTGTAAGATATTTTAGTTTTTTTAGATTCATAGTTTTTTCCTATGTATCTGTATACAACTAGATACATAACAAGTTACGTTCCTAAAAAATGATCAAAACGGCTAACCATTTGAAAAGGTTTAGTTCCAAACAAACCGAGGGTAGCAATGTAGACCCGCTCCTACCGATATATGTAATTTCAGTAGCTCATGTTAAAATCTAGGTTAACAACAAGTCTAGACGGTCCGTTTGGGTATAGACGGATTCCAAGAATTTTATAAGATAAACTCAGAATCATATAATTCTATCCAAATAGACTACATTATGGAGTACTTTCAACACAAATAATATGAGACGACAAGATCCAAGAATCTTTATCTCATCCAAACGACACTTTAGAAAAAACTGGAAAAAAAAAGGTCAACTGGTGTTTGCAGAGTTGATTTAGACACATGGTCAATTTTGCTATCCTTTCTAAAATATAAGTCGTCTCGACTTTTTAAAGTATATAACTTTTGTTGTGCACCTAAATATACACAGTATTCGGATATATTGTAAAAGTTATGTACTTAAAAAACAAAAATAACTTGTAATTTAGAATCGGACGGAGCAGGGGCAATGCCACATTTGATGAAGTCAGGTACATCGGAGCTAGTTTCTTGAAAATTGAGCTAGTTAATACTACATTTGTTTTTGTATGTAAAATGAGAAAGCATTCAATTCCATTTGTATTTTAAGTACTAATCATTATTCCTTATAACATATTGTCAATTGCCAAATCTCATAGATTTAGTCAAAGTTAAACTACCATGAGTTTGACTAAATTTATAGAGAAAAATGTCAACATTATATCACCAAGTCGATATACTACGAAAGTATATTGTAACATATTGAATGTATGAACCTGATTATCGTAAATATCGATATCGCTTTGTATAAGTTGGGTTATAAACTTATAATATTTTGGCTTTGACTAGTCAATCTCTTGAGAAACGAGGGACTACGTCTTTACACTAAAATGTTCAGTTGTTCATAGATTAGTAGTTGTCGGTCAAATTTTAAAATGACAAACGTAAATGGAGTACTATGGCTGAAAAGGTTTCCATCTCTTATATAGGTGAAAAGAGAAAAGGAAAGGCATCAGCTACCGAGCAAAACATCTGATGTTATTTACTTTCTTTCTTTCTTTTTTGAAAAAAGGATGCAGTTTAGTTGCTGAACAAACACCCAAACCTAGGAAATTTAAGAAAATGGCATGAAAACCTTGTTCTACAAGGTGACGCAGTATATAGGAGTACCAAAAGCCTAATCCCCGGTGCGTTTTCTTGGACAATCCAGGATATAAACCAAAAAGAAAAACTACTCCTAGTACGTGATGACTGAAGAGCACAATGCCGAAGCAGCCGGAAGTGGCCAGCGAAACTAGCACAGAGATTGGTCAGATCAGCATCGCACGCACTGACGGACAACACAACACAAATCATGCTTGCACAAAATCACACGAAACTTGACTGAAACTGATCGATTATGTAAAAGAGAAATACTATAGCGATTAAAAAATGCATAGTGATATATAAGAGCAACCAGCTGGAAAAAATCGCACCAGCGAACGGCGCCACATACAGGATCCCCTGCCGCGTCGCGTCGGGCCCAGCGACATGCTTGAGAGCCTTTTCGTCGGTCGGTGTTGGCCCTCCCCTGCCGCGTCGCGAGTCACGAGTCCATCCAAGCGCCCCGATCCGTGAAAGGCAAATGAGCCCGAAGAGGAAGGGGCGACGGAAAGGGCGGGACCGGACCGGAGAGCTGAGCGGAGCCCGGGCAGCTGGCGTGGCGCGGCGCGGCGCGTGGAGGACGGGGGAGTACGGGACGGCAAGGCAGCAGCAGCAGGGAGATGAGATGGGACGAGGGACGTGACAACTGACAAGTCCCTCACCTGCCACCTGCGCACTTTGACTGCCCCCCGTTCAAGCTTGACCAGGTTCGGGACCCCGGACCCGACCCTCGCCGTGCAGACCGAAACTGTCCACAATCCGTTCTCTACGATCCTCCTCTGTACTAGTATTTCCATAGCACAAAGAGCTGATCCTATTTAAGACGATGCCCCCCCGAACCCTAATTCAAAACGAACTAAACCTTGGAAAGTTCATGTGCTATAAATTTTTCCCCAAAAACTACTCCTTTTAATTACTTTTCAACTTAAAAAGGACAAGTCCCTACACAAGAGTATTTTACTACAAAAACATATTTACACTTTGCGACAAAGGGGCATCCGTTTTTCGTTTTGGTATGGACGGAGTAGCGTGTCTTTGTGTTCGTCTGCTTTGATGGTATGGAATGAGAGGCGCATTCGATTTGGTTTGGTTCGTTTTCGTGCCATTTGGTTCGTGAAGAAATCTTCTTTGGTTGATTTGTGTGAGAGAAAAATAATATTCCGACTAAAAATTTACGATCGTTTACGACAAGTCACAGCCAAACGAACATGCTGTAGCTTGCTGTTGCCATTATGCCATCGGTTGTCTGCACATCGATGGATGGATCTGTCTTCTCTAGCGTAACCGTAGTCTGTAGAGGATTTGTTTCCATGGTTCCTGCAACAGTGGTAGTCGTCCTCGGCTTCGCATGCACTGCACATGGGGTTCGCGTCACTGTCTCGTTCTCGTCCGGAGGTGGCCACGCAACGATTCTGTTCACGGTCACGGCGCTGCTGGACGTCCGTCTCCTGTAGTCCTGTCGCCTTGCGGCTCTCCTGTGCTCTCTCTCGCTCAGCTGCTCCTGGATGTTCGCGATGCATATCGATTGCGTTGTGCTAATTGCGATGACAAAAGGCCGGCCCTGAGGCCCAGTACGAACTGCCGTCGGGTTGCGGATTACGCATGGGCTACCTCATAGCCTATGCGGAAGGGGGAAAAAAGCATTCGCGTCCTGAGGCCCGGCGGGAGGGGCATGGTGTCGTGGGCGATCTATGAACCTACGTCCACGATTCATATATTCCAAAATATATTTTCTGTAATAACAACTTATTTATATATAATGTAGTTACTTGTACTAAATATATGTCGGTTTTTGTTGATTTTGTTTCCAATTGTACATAAGTGGACAAATAATTACACGACCTGGTGTCTTTATATAACTTGCAGAAATTTATGTCGATGATATCAATTTAAGTTTTCTACATCATATAGATTGTGCATACCTTGCCTTTTATTTAGGGGACGCGATAGGTATACCAATTAGAGGTCAAAACAAGCATACATATTAGGATTATGTGGTTTCCCCTCTCGTCTTTTCAGGTCGCTATTTTTTTAGAGTTCTGGATCCAAGTCTCGTGTATTATTCGTCCATAATGATTAGGGTTACCACATCCCTACTGATTATGAGTTGCAATGTGCATACCTAGCGGTAAGCATACTAATTAGGGGTCCTCACAAGCATACTGATTAGAGTTGCAGCAGGCACCGATTAGGGTTATGGGCTTTGCCTTTCTAGCGCTCAGGTTGCTACTATTTTAGAATTTGCAAACATAGGTCACTACTTGTTCATATATTTTATTATAGTTGAAGCATCCGTAATGATTACGAATCACAACACACGTACTAATTAGAGGTCACAGCAGGCATATTGAATAGGGTTATGTGCTTTGCCCTAACGTCCGCTCAACTTGCTTCCACTACTACATATTTCATTTTTAGCAACACCTCCGTTTTTAAATAGAGGCAAGTCATTCTACGAACGTTTCTACAAACCGATCCAAACCAAGCCATCTCTATAAATGCGTCTATAGAGGCGACTGATATTTTCAGCCGCCTCTACGAACGCCCCTATTATTAGAGGCGCCTTTAGATGCACCTGCGTATACAAATAGATTTCTAGAGAAGCTGCTGGAGTTGCCTCAATTTGAAGTATGTTGTGATATATTGTCGTTATAGGGGTTGAGACTATAATTTGCTTCCTAGTTTGCAACGTGGTGTGATCCAGGGTTGTTCCAGAGGTTGTGACCATGGTTTGCCCATAGTTTGACGCTTGATGTTCTTTAGGGCCGGGTTTACTGTGCGCAGGGGGTGTGACTATAGTTTGTCCCCCTATTGCAACGTGTTTTGATTGAGGATTGGCACATGTTCTTAACTATCTCACTCTCCGCCGCTAATTTGCAGCTTCTTGTGATTTGGTATCTCTATAGGAGCTGTGTCCATGGATTGCCCTATTTTTTGTAGCATGTAGTGATCAAGGTCGTTGCAGGGGTTGTGACTATAGTTTCTCAACTTCATAGTTTGTAACTTGTCGATAGGGGTGATTGTAGGGGTTCTGACTATGATTTGCCCCTTGTTTTCAGCAGTCCAAGAGGGGTTTTGATAGTGTTTTGTCAGTTGTTGAAAATATCTTCATCTAAAGTTATTAGATCTAGAGCTGTCAATGTCATCCAAACCAAACAAGTGTATTAGTTCTATGGTGGGAGACCAGTTTTAGAGTGAAATTGCTCTATGGTGAAGCTAATGTTTAGAAAGCTGATGTTGCGCTAAACAGGCCCTCGGGCCTTGCATTGTTGCATTGCTCTACCTCCACGTGCCGGCAACCTGCAGTGCCTGTCGACTATTGCAGACGAGTCACTCGATTTTGTCTAGATTTCTTGATGAAAACAACACGTGCATATATACCTCGATCGATATGTGTTATTCACAGCATCAGTATTCAGTAGACAGGACAGTGGAGATGCACATTCCGACGATGCAGCCTTGTGCAAACTTTCTCACTAAACAGGAGACTTCAAAAGGGTCCGAAGACCATTTATCTGAGCCGCCAACATTTGCCACCGACTGACAGACCTCGCCCCATCTTGTCACTTGAGCACGCTCTTCTCCCCTTCCTCCAGCCCCGCCATGGTGTCGTACAGGGGCTTGTTCATGGTCTCCGGCAGGTAGAAGACGAGCAGGCCGCCGACGATGCCCGAGGCGCCGAACACCGCGAACGGCAGCCTCTCCCCGAACATCACCACCAGCGGCGCCACGATGGCCCCCATCTGCGCCGCCTGCGCCGTGCACCCCAGCGCCGCGTTCCGCACCACCGTCGGGAACAGCTCCGCCGTGTAGATGAACAGCAGGTTGTACGTCGCCGCCATGCCGAAGATGCCCACCACGCCGCACACCATCCGCGCCACCCTGTACACATTTGTGTGCAGTTTGCAAGTGCACGTTCGTTAGTGGAACATATATATGGATATTTGGAAGAATTGAATCTTGATGAAAGGCTATCACTATCAGTCTGACGGACGGACCTCATGATCCCTGCGCCGGGTATGAGACTCCCGGCGGTGCAGAAGACGCCGCTGAGCAGCATGGTGCCGATGGCGAGAGGCTTCCGGCCGAAATGGTCGAGGAGCAGCGCCGTGAGCAGGTAGGCGGGCATCTCGGCGAGCGAGTTGACGGCGACGGTGACGTAGAGGTTGGTCTTGAGGTTGACCACGTTGAGGCTGAGGCCGTAGTACACCACCGAGGCGAGGAGGTTGATGAGCACGGAGAGCACGAGGCGCACCCGCGTGGTCCGGGACCGGAACACGTCGAAGATGGAGCCCGAGGACGCGGACGCCGCCGCCGCCTTGGCCGTGCCCCCACCACCGTCCTTCCCCTGCTCCTCCTCGTCCTCGTCGTCGAGCTTGAGCGTGAGATCCTCCGGGACGGCCCTGCCGTTGGTGGCAGCGATTTCCCGGATGACCCGGAGGGCGTCGTCGGGGCGTCGGCGCACGAGGTACCACCGCGGCGACTCGGAGACGAACGGCACGACGGCGACGGCGAACGCGAGCGACGGGAGCGAGGTGACGACGTAGAGGAGGCGCCAGGAGCGCGGGAAGAGCGCGGCGACGCCCGCGAGCGCCGCGATGCCGCCGGAGAAGAAGTAGAAGGTGGACATCCCCGCGGCGCCGCGGCGGGCGGGGCCGACGGGCTCGGTGGCCAGGACGAAGGCCAGCACGCCGACGCTGCCCGTGCTGAAGCCCGTGAGGAGGCGCAGCGCCGCGTATGCCCAGTAGTTCGGGGACGCCGCCGTGAGCAGGCCGAAGGCGGCGTTGAGGATGCACACCACCTGCAGCGACCCCTTCCGGCCCAGGAACGAGTCCGAGAGGTGCCCGAACACGCCCGCGCCTGCATGCAGATGAAGAAAGTCAAATGCCTTATCTAGCTGAAAAGCTAGCCCAGGTAAAGGCCCACGCTAAAGAGGCCCGCCCCAAGGCCCTTGGTGGTTTTTGTCCGCTTGCGTGTGAGGTAGAAATTCCAGAAAAGGAGAGCCGATGGGTAGTACTAGCCGGATCGGATGAGGCAAAGTCATTTTTGATTGGCTGCGCCGTGACATCCTCCCCGTCACTGCCGTCGTGGCACTTGGCGCGGCGGGGGCAGCCACGTAGCCATGCTACGGGCCTACGGCGAGGCAATCTGCTCCACGCGTTACGCGTGCGTACGTGTCACGTCGCGCTACGGCGTCTCGTAGGCCAATCGGTGGCTGACATGACCAACATGGCCACTGTATGTCTGTATATGAGTATATCCATGGACCATTTCCAAACGATAATACGGTGTGTGTTTTTAATTCATCTTCTGTATGTTATTTATCCATCGTCACACGGTGACAGAGTTGGTGGATTAAATAGCAGAAGCGAAGATGGTACGGAGTCAACATGATAGCAGCTGGCATTGTAAAATAATTAGATAAGGTAGCCCAGCTCCAGATCTCTCTCTAAAACCAAACCATGGATAGCCACGAGTATAGCTACTGACTGACACGGCTTCATTTGTTCTGATCTATAATCTGTGAATGGCATCCGCATCCAGCGCCCGGTCCGGAGCCACAGGTTAGTGGATGCATGCAGCGGGATGCTAGGATCAGCCGAAAAGATTCCTCGGCGTGTCTCGTTTCACGGGAAGCTGTGACGCTGGGGAATTACGTGTCTGAGTGGGACATCTGCGCGCATGAGACATTGAGACCATTCTAACCGTGGTTTGGACTCACTCTCTGCGGTAGATGGGAACATGAGAAAGTGTCAATGTTGTAACAGAGACATCTACCGGGAAAGCTACGGAGAAAGCCGACAAGAGGAAAAAGATGCTCACTGCCTACGGCGGCCTTACGCCTAGATAGCTGTCTATCAACAGGTCCATAATAGTCGCGCTCGCGCACATGTATACGGCGCCCGTGATGAAATGGCGCTGACCATCTCGTCCATCGGATCAATCGACACAGCTGCCTGTGGCCGAGCCGTCGGAAGCGAAACACTCAATCGACGGCCGCCGCGGATTGGGCAAGCAAATTAAAGCTGCAGCGCTGGCGGGCGGGGGACGCCGACGGCCGGCCAAAAGCGCACCACGACCACGAGATCGCGTCACGTCGCGCTCTTCTGTCTTGTCCTCGCGCGCGTTCCAGCGCTCCCTGCCGAATATGGTGGGGACTTGAATAATCCAGCTCCGCGCGCTACTCCTGCCCGTGCTTTACATTCCCGCACCCAGCTGTCGACCCCAAAATGCCAAGCCGCGCCTTTACTACTAGCTAGTAGCTACCGATTCCACGCGAAATGATTGGCGAAAACTAGACCATTTCCTAACGACGAACGCGCATCAGAAAACGAATCCAGATACGCACACGCACGGCACGGCGAAACAGAACCAACGAAACGTAGCACCGCCGCGCGTGGCGAGCGCCGAGCAGTGAGCACTGACCGATCATGCAGCCGGCGAAGAAGACGGCCTGGGCGAGGCCGACCTTGTAGCGCTCGCCGCAGACGAGGCCCCACTCGGCGACGGTCGACGCCACCGGGGCGCCGCCGGCCCACTCCCACCCGCCCGCGGCGCCGGCGCCTGCGCAGGGGTCCCCGCACCGGGCGGCGGCGCAGGACGTGGCCGGCTCCCGGTCCGCGAAGATGATCACCATGGTGTGCAGCGCCTCCAGCGCCCACGCGGCCGACACCGCCACGAAGTGCCGCAGCTGCCACCGCCCGAACTCCCCCGCGTACGACGACAGCGCCTCGTCGATGCACACGCGCCGCCCCTTGCTGCTGCTCTGATTCTTCTTCCCCGCCTCGCCATCATTGCCGGCCGAGAGGAGCGGCTCCGTCGTCGACATGTCTGCTGCTAGCAGTGTCGATTTGACGCTGCGTGTGCGTTCCGGGCGACGAGTGCGTCGCGGGGCGCTATTTGTAGTTGTAGCCGCCCCCACAGGCCCCGGGCTAGGCCGAGGCAGAAGCAGGCGTCGAGGGCTCGACGGCGCGCGCCGCTGTTAACGGCGTCACGCTTTGGTTTCCAGAGCACGAAGCCTACTATTCACGGGCTTCCGTCGCCGTCGCCGTCGCCGTCGCGCAAGCTTCCGCGACTTGTGGTAATCGACGGTCCTGATGCAACCATCCGGTTGATGGACAAAGTAAGCTATGGAAATCCTTTGTGCGTCGTATCTGGACGCGCATTGGTTTGTTTGTGTACTCTGCTGTCCGCGGCGCTCGCACTGCAGTGACAAGCTTCTAAAAAAAGTTCAAACGTGTCGGCAGCTCCAAGAAAAATATAATTATGAATCAGTTAAAGTGGTGTAGCATGGAACCGAGATGAAAAATAGATGTCATCCCTATCGGCTATCGTTGAGCGATATGCTCTCAGTTCCCTACCCATTTGGAGCTGGACGACGTGGCGTCCTCCGTGTTTCTTTGTGGTCGGGCGTAAAGCCTACTGCTACACCCGTGCGTCTCCTTTGGATCGGTAATGGCCAGCGGCCGTCGCGCTGTGCCGCTGTGCGACACGGCGACGGCGTGCGCCAACGATTTCTACAGGTGGCGGCTCTGTTCGCTTAAACTACTTCACAGTACTTTTCAACGAACAAAAAAATATTTTTCTCTCGTATCAAATCAGCATCAGAAAAATTTCAGCAAAGCGAACAGTGGCAGCCGCCGACGTGACCGGCTGATGACCCTTCATCGCATCATTGACTTCTTTCCACGTGACAGGCGCCCGGCCGGCGGACCGATCGCAGCCGCAATCAGAACAATGACGAACAGTGATGAAGCGTAAACAGTTGACGGAAGTTATTATCCGATCCTCAGCTCTCTATGTATATAGGCAGAATAGCTATTTTTAGTCCCTGAACTATTGCTCGAGGCTCAGTTTCATCCTTTAACTTTTTAAAATGGCTGATTTAGTCCTTAAACTCTACTTTTAAGCTCAATTTCATCCAAGAACTACGAAGATGATCGTTTGAGTCCTTAAACTTTGCATTTTTGGCTTAATTTCATCCATAAACTATCAAAGTGTATTTTGTTCTTTAAACTTTTATGTTCAACTCAGCTTTGTCTATCGTCCTACGTGGAAAGATGCATTGTTGCACTTGGTCAGCTCCAACACCACCAACGATTATAGATAGAAAAAATAATATATTCATCCAAAAACTCTTTAGTGGCCATCAATAATTCGCCATCAATAATTCTAAACTGTTATTTTAATGGTATCTTATAATGGTGCCATTTATATATATCCGACTAAATATTTTTTGTGGGAGCAATTATAGTTGTTTCGAACGCTATTTATTCCTTAAGAAACATGAATACGTTAAAACAATAGCAAATCTATAATTTTTTTGTTAGCTACTTCTAGAGTTAGGCTCCACTAATAACCATTTATGTACAAAATAATATGTCTTATCCATAGGTTAAAGATAATTCATATTTAAGAATATTTAAATCTATATTAATAGAATATGAATATAAATATTGAAAGTGTGCTATCTGATTTGGTAGTTGGGACGACGCTAGGGACAATAATACCCAAAATGTAAAGTTTGAGGAATGAAACGATCATCTTCGTAGTCTTGGGATGAAATTGAGCCTAGAAACAGAGTTTGGAGACTAAAACGCCCGTTTTAAAAGTTTAAGGATGAAACTGAGCCTCGAGCAATAGTTTAAGGACCAAACCGGCTATTATGCCCTATATAAACTAATCAGCTCGTGGGACACAAGGTCGCCCTGAGACAAAGTTCATATATGATGTGCCAGTCTCCCGGCTTTGCCAGTATGTTCGTTCTCTCCGTTTACTACGGTACTAGCAGTGCATCTGAATAGTTGTTGTACTCCAGTGATTTGCGTCAAGTTTATACGTGGTGACCGGGGCGGGTCCAGCAACACCGTGGGGTTGGCCCATGCAGGCTGCCGCCACGCAAGATCCACCGAGCGCACGTACGGCGGGGAAACAGACAGATCCGCCGCGCCGGACGGACGCGACGCGATCTGTCGTGATCAAAATCACGCACCAAAATTCAACCGGAGATCGGACTGACACGCAGGCGCAGGCGCATGTGCCGCCCCGCGCGCCGCTGTGGAATCGAATCCCTTGCATTGGCCCGGCACCGCCACGAGGGTGCGCGATCAAGGTTTTGGCACCACACGGCAGCAGCGGCGCGCTTGCCTGGACGGGGGATAAGACGGACGGGCACGGGCGGCACGACCGCTGCGTTGGCAGCCTGCTGCATTGCTGTGCTCGGAACCACGCTCGGAGCTACCTACCATTGAGGGGCCATGGCCCCCTTTATCGTGCATAGTTCCATAGTTGTCATGTGTATAGGTGTATGTATATTTCCCCACTGTTTATTGACATAGCTACCTACATAGTTATTTTGTTTGTTACTACTGACTAGATGTCTGATGCATGCAAGCTTGCTAGCCATGATGCCATGCTTGCCTGTAGCAGTACGTTCTCGAGGCCTGTTTAGCCCGTGCTTGCTTTGCTTTGAGCGCTACCTCCGCCACTGCTCGGAACCAAGCATGGCAACCCATGCAAATGCAATCGGATCTCGCCATCTCGGTGTGGCCTGTGGCGAATGGCGTGGTGTTAACTCCTCGAGTCGTGGGATGGCTGGATGAGGGTCTCCTGAGACTGTGAGTCCTGACGCCTCGGTTTGGCGCTTGCGTAGCCCTCGTCATCGCCTCCCTCGTCCGCGGGGCCAGGAGGGGCTGTGCTTGTACGCGGCATGCCCAAGTGGGCAAGTGGCGCTGCGTTGCGTGACCGCGCGGGCCGCGTGGCGGCTGCCGGACGGACCCGGACCGCCGGCCGGCAGCTGAAGGAAGCGGCGAGGCCGTGCGATGCGGTGGCGCTGCTGCAGAGATCCACGGTTCCCGGGCCCCGCGTCACAAAAACCGGCTGCGGCCAGGCCCAGCCATCCAAGCAGCATGATGGGCGGCCTACACGTTCGTTCGTTGTCGATCAGCTCACGGGCCCGCCTCTTGTTATTTGGTCCAAACAGCACGAAACTGTCATACCACATGTTGTTTGGGCCAATTTTTTTATTTTATTTTCTTTTATTTACTCTATCTATACAGCTTCAAGAAATAAACTATTGCATCAACTTCTTTACGAAAGGAGGTGGCGCATGAATTAGCTAGTGTATAGCATTGAAACATACATGTATTTCAGTGATGAAATCCCCTAGCTTCATTTTTAAAAGTTTGGTGAATGACGTAACTTTGTTTAAATCAGTAAAGAGCGCCGGTGCCCTATGGCTTCCCTCAAAAAAGAAAAAAAATGGGCGACACTAGCGCTCGAACATCCGTATGCGGCTCCAACGTCTCTGCACCTGACGCAACGTCCACGCCCGCGCCCGACTAAGCTCCCTCGCCCGCGCCGGTCCGAGCCCGAAGTAGTCCATGACCTGCCGATAGCGTAGGCAATCAGGCCATTTGATTCAGGAGCAGCGCAAGCCGCGTAGTTTTTTTTATATATTTTATGAGATGCCACATGTTATATTTTTTAATCTAAAACATTATTCTTGTGAGCATGGAATACTTTTTTCCTTTGATTTAAATAGTCTGATACCGTTTATAATAATATAAATATTTTATAAGTAACACAAATTATCTATACGGTGTAGTGGTGAGAAATGATTACTTTAAACTTTTGGTCCAGTGTTGAACCTCTCCCACACGTGGGGTGGCGGCGAATGGAGTGGAAAAGGGGTGGGCCATGAGAGCGACCCTAAGTCAATGTACATGGGCCCCTGTGAGTATATCTTTTTATAAGACACGCATGCACATTTCAAAATTAAATTTCTCCTCTACAATTCAGGCGGGGTTGGAGAGCAGAACCACCGTCCACGTCGTCAGGAATTCCCTTGCCTACCGCTCGCATCCCTAATCGTGCATTAGCAACAAGTTAGGAGCACACCTACTTTAAGGTGATCAGGCCCGTGATCCTATCCTCTTCTCAAACAGAAATGCAAGTTTTCCATTGATCTTGACCGTTCAGTTCACCAGTTAACAAAGTTTTACAACGTATGAAAATTTTGGGCAGTTATATTGCCAAATTGAAAAGATTACACCATGAGTCTGCCAAATTTTGGCGTACATTGTTTTTTCATTAGAGTTTCCAGCACATAGTAAGAATTATAAGTAGCTACGAATCATTTATTTGTTTTTATTATACAGATGGTCATATAATTGTGGTTATATAGATTTTTTCTCTATACTAGTGTTTTTATCCTAGGTATAAGAAGATTAGCTGAACTAACACATTTTTTGATAAAGGTGTCATTGATGGAATTGTCAACGGAGTAGGTCTTTGCTGGTTTTTGTATAGGAGAAGAAATCAAATACGTATGGGGAGGGCGAATAATGTCTTAACCCACCCACAATCGCAATAGGCAGCAGCAGGGGCGAACACAAGAATATATCTTAGAGGATGCTCATATCCCTTCTTTCTCCGGCGTCCACTCTTCTTCTTCATCTCCCTTTTCTTCTTTCAATTCCTGGAGCTCTAGCGGGTAGGGGGCTTGAGCCCCCACGGCCCGCACGTTGGACCCGCCCCTAGGCAGCAGGGAGATGCAAAGAGTTGTCATGCCTATGGCCCGGCGATGTGGAGGGTCACACGACACGTAGAAACCAACGAGTGCCTCGACGAGGCCGAAGCACAATAGAGCTTGCATCCCGTGGTGGATCTAACAAAAAAAGTTGAGGGGCTAAACAAAAGTGCTACAGTGCTCACTGTAAACCACCGCCGTTGCCTGCCCCGTTCGTTGGAAATTATCATACGGTATTTTTCTCTCGTAGAAAAACACCATCAGCCGGCTTCGTAGAGTCACGGGTTCCGGGGCCCGTGTCACAAAATCGGGCTGCGGCCAGGTCCAGCCGTCCATTCAGCACGATGGGCCTACCCGTTCGTTGTTGCTCAGCTCACGGGCCTCCTCTCGTATTCAACCTTGTCATTTGGGCCAAACAGCGCGAAACTACCTAATCTCCCCTGATAGTGTGGCCAGCTGCAGCAATCAAATGCCAGCACTACAACGCCTCCTCGTCTCTAAGAGCAACTTCAGCATAGCCCTTAGAAGTCCCTAAACCAAAATCTGAGAGCACTAGCTAATTTTCCCAGAATCAATCTAGGTTGGCTAATTTTTGGGTGCGAACACTATGATTAATCATTGGTCATCTTACATGCATGAACAATCTTTAATGGGAATATATATAGTACACTGCTAGAGCAATATAATGAGGACCAGAAGGCCCTTTGCACATGGAGATCTATAGCAATACAATTTACGGTTAATAATGGAATCTTTCGTCCAAACTAGTGTTGGTATATTGTGCTTATTCATGTAATCATGTCGCAGATGCGTGGTGATTTCTAGCCTAAGTGATGCAAACTTGTACTCATGGACGGTGCAGTGCTCTCAATGGGTGCAAAGAAACATTCATTTTTTCAAATCTAAAATAAAATATGATTCATATGGTGTCATCATCAATATAATCATGTGAATCATTATTGTTTCACATAGTAACATACAACCGGGCATCACTGGATAACATCACAATGCCGAAAATCCCATATTTACAGTTCAAAATAAAATGGTAACTATCCAGGAGCATAATAACACAAATTATTCATTAGTTCATATACTTAAAAGTGGCAATCTCCAAGATCGCCTATGTTGACTCCAGGCAGTGGGGGATCCACCGGTAAAGCGCAGAGGATTTTTATTTGTCGCAAAGGGTAAACATAGGATTTATCTAGATAATTACTTAGAGCAGTGACGATCACCCAGGCTCCAAATAATTTCTAGACCCACCACTGCCTCTAGGGTATGTCATCCGTAGTTCCCACCATCAGTCCATTGGCTTGTATTTTCCATTGGCAAATAATTAACTTCCATGATTACCATCATAGACTCAAACTTAACAACGAGCCTGTGTAATTAGATTAGATGATCAGAGGTTAACAATATGAAACAAAGGGCAAGAACAGCTGAGTTGAGCATTATATTAGTTTATCGGAGAACATTTTGTGCCTCTTTAACACAAGGCTCAAAATTGGATAATTCTTTAAATTTAGGTAGACCAGTAATAACTTCATTTTATGGAAAATTGGTGGTCAAACTATGCTCTTATAGACTTCTCCAAATCCTAAAATGCCCTATAACAAAGGAAGTATCATTTACTTTCAATAATTCATTGTAAAGCTTGCTTTATAAAAAAGTATTAAATAACGTTAGCATGAAAACTACACTTCATTCTTTCATCAATATGTACTTCCTATAAAATCCAGTGGCAACTCGCAGGGTATCATCTAGCTACTACAGAGAACGAAGGCACACAGTTACTGTTTTAGTTCCAACGTCGATAGAAAAAAAATTGTTAAGTAGTACCTTGCCGTGTCATTAATATCGGCGATGAAAACCAAATCGAGAGCACGGCTGTCCGTAATCTGAACTGTTTGCTCAAGCCTATATAATAAGGAGACCAGCGTTAGTTATATTTATTGCTTTCAAGAACAAACAGAAAATGTGCAAGCAATGTAGACAATGCTAAAATAACAAAGCACTGCTAGTAGACTGTATTCATGGTTGATTGGACAACTAATCTTTATTAGGTTGTAAAATCACAGGACATTCTTCAGATTTTAAACTATTTATTGTTAGTGAAATACCTCGGAATTCCCTTGCAGATACCTCAGAATTCCACTCTCTGAGGAAGCTAACCAAGGCACAGGTGCAGCCAATTATTGACCAAGTTGCTGATCTTTTGCCGGGATGGAAAGCAGATCTTACAAAAGAGGGACGCATAATTTTGTTGGCCGGCTGATAAGCCAGCTGAAACTGTTTTGTTGTGAGAGAAAAATACTGTAGATTCTAGCTGATAAGCCGGCTGATAAGTTCAAGCGAACAGGCCATGGCAATGGACTTACCACCATGGGCCATCAAAGCTATTGACAAAATATGGAGAGGGTTTCTCTGGAGAGGCAGGAGACGTGAAAGGAGGTCATTGTGCTGTGGCTTGGACTAAAGTGTGTCTCTCTAAAGAACTTTGGAGGCCTCGGTGTGTCAAACTTGCAGAACCTTGGCTGGGCTCTTAGGATGAGATGGTTGTGGCTGAAGAAAACTGATACAGGTCGACCATGGTCTGTTTTCCAGATTCAAGTCCATCCCTCCGTACATGTTTTTTTCCTCTATGGCTGCTATAACAGAGGTTGGAGATGGAACAAACACCTTGTTCTGGACTGACCGTTGGATTCATGGCAAAAGGATCAGTTAGCTTGCGCCCCCAAGCTTTTGCATTGGTATAAAAAAGAAGAGCTAAGCAGGAGGACTGTACATGAGGCCCTCTCAAATAATATGTGGGTAACTGAGATCCAAGGCGCTCTAACTGTGGGAGTTGTCTCAGAATTTCTATCAATACGGGATTTGATAAAGGATGTGATCCTGCAGCCTGGAGTCGCAGATTATCATATCTGGCGGTTATCTTCAAATGGCCAATATTCAGCATGGTCGGCTTAAAAAAATCGCTTCCAGGGAATGAGTTCTTTTCGGCCTTATACTAAAATTTGGAGAGCCTGGGCTCCAGGAAAATGTAAATTCTTCTTGTGGTTGGTAGCTCATGACTGGTGTTGAACAGCAGAACGTTTAGCAAGAAGAGTGCTTCCTCATCCTGATAGATGTCCTCACTGTGATCAAGCTGAAGAATCTATCAACCACTTACTCCTGTCTTGTGTTTTTGCAAGAGAATTCTGGTTGAAACTTGAGTTGGCCTGCAGTTCCTTGCCCCACAGATCGATGAGTTCTTTGATGATTGGTGGGAAAGAATAAATTTGAACATTGGGCACCAGTTACAGAAAGGCCTCAACTCCATTGTCATCCTTGGTGTTTCAACCTTGTGGATTCATCGTAGTGTGTGTTTGATGGAGTTTCTCCAGACTTGGCTAGAACCTTACTGCTTGCTAGGGAGGAGTTATTTTTTGGGGTTTGGCCGAGGCTAGAGGTATCTCCTACCTCCTCGCCCTTGTGCCTATGTAGCATGTTTGCTTTTGTTGGGCCATTTCATCCTTTGTCACAGGCGAGTCATAGCATGTTTTTTTGTGGTGTTTGGTGTGTGTGTGTTTGTAAGGGCTCTTCCCCTTTTTTCTTCTTAATATAATGATACACAGTTCTCCTATGTGTTCGAAAAAAAATATTGTTGGTGAAAATTAGTGTGTTTGAATCATGGAATACATGCATGTTCATATAAAAAAGAGGGGGTATACTGAGCAGAAGCATTGATTACCTGTAGGTAATGGCATCCCAAAAACATACAGTCCCGTCATCTAACGTGGTAACCAGTATTGGAAGCGTTGGGTGGCAAGCAATGCAGGTTGTTTTGCTTTTGCGCCCACCCAGGCTAAGAGTGTGATAAACTTTTCTTGTCTCCAAATCCAATATCTGATTTTCACATACATGAGAGAGAGAGAGAGTAATATTATTAGGCCTGTTTCTGCCCTGTATATATGCAGACAACTATTATCAATGCTGTTATGAAAACAATCAATAATGCTTAATATTCTTCACCTGGACTTCGGCTGATGTTGGGCTCAAAGTAACCATCAAGTGCAAATGATTGTGAGAGAAGCAATAATCAGCTTTGAATGGCCCCATCAGTTTGGTGGTAAGACGGGAAGAATTTTCAATGTTCCCAGCCTATAAATTTCATGCAGAGAAGACATCTTGTGACGTCAAATATACAAATACTCCCGGATAACTGAATTAGTCGATTCTTCACTAATTATGACATGCACACATACGAGGACAAATTATATAGGAAAGGAAGAGGCTAACAAACCTTTACTTTATTCTCATAGGTAACACAAGCAAAAGTGTTGGTGTCCCTTGGTTTAAACTTGAGACTGTGCACTCCATCCGGATATGTAGGTTTCACATCAAATGTTTTAAGTCGCACCCAGTCCATGCTAGGGTCACTGCTCCAGTCCCAAAGCTTGATCGTTTTGCCATGAGCAGATGATGAAAGAAGGTACGGCTTGGTTGGGTGGACAGCCAACAAGTCGACAGAGTTGCCATGAGCTCTGAATTTCTTGGCCTCCTTCAGTTTAGTGTCAGTGCAAGCGTAGACATATATGTATCCATCACCATTTCCCACTACCAGCCATTTCCCTCGAGCGATAAATTTGGCTGAACAAACTGAATGCGGGACACCCGTCTCTTTGAAGTTTTGAGAAATGTCATGCGCGAGACGTGCAAACTTGCCTGGCACCTCATTGACCTGCAACTCCATCACAGTTTTCTGCCACACAATGTACAGGTAAGTTTCACCAACTTAATGTTTACTGCATTCACAATCATAGGGAAGCTACACACGTGCAGTGCTGATACCTTCTCCTGGTAGTCCCAAATGGAAACCTTCCCTCCCTCATAACTCATCACGATCCTGTGATGCATATAGTGCAAATCAAAGAGGAAATATTGGAATAACCAATATAAGAATTTGTCATTGGATGAGCTATGCATATGACCCAGACTCACCATGTCTTGGTGGGGTGTACGTCAATGGATGTCACCGCGGTCATATTCTCGGATAATCTTGATATGATCTGGTATAACCAATTAATGCAAAAGTTAAGATAATTATCCCCTGCACGAAACTAAATGGTCGATCTGGTTCACTGCACAAAATATTTAAAAAAATTATCTAGGACCTATTTGGTTGAAGAGTGTTGTTTTCATTGAAATGCAGGGACTTTAGAAGTAACATGTAATATCCTAGTTGATTTCATGTCAATCTGAACCATATTTGTGTGTGCATGAAAAGTCCACTTTACGATGGAAAAATCAATTATATCAATTAGAGCATAGGACATCCTTTTTATGAAAACAGACCATATGACAAATGATTTTCCTCAAACAACAAAAATAATATACTGATTCATATATAAGTTAATCATATGGAACAATACCTTGTAGACAATACTAGGGCCACCTTGACCAATCACACTTTTCAGCGCAGTAGACTTGGCTGAGCCTATATATCATAGGTCAAATGCATAAATGTCATAGTCTAGATTATGAAAACATGATACCTTTAAGAGAACTTATGAGTTAAGAGTTTGTAATGCTCATTTGAAGGAGCATAGTAGTAAATAAATGATGATGATATAGGACTCACTAGCCATGTCATGCCAACCTAAGACCTAACCAGCAATGCACCAAAGAGAATTATGATGCAAAAAGATAGATACATACAACAACAACAACAACAACAACAAAGCCTTTAAGTCCCAAACAAGTTGGGGTAGGCTAGAGTTGAAACCCATCAGAAGCAATCAAGGTTCAGGCACGTGAATAGCTGTCTTCCAAGCACTCCTATCTAAGGCTAAGTCTTTGGGTATACTCCATCCTTTCAAGTCTCCTTTTATTGCCTCTACCCAAGTCAACTTCGGTCTTCCTCTGCCTCTCTTCACGTTACTATCCTGGCTTAGGATTCCACTACGCACCGGTGCCTCTAGGGGTCTCCGTTGCACATGTCCAAACCATCTCAACCGGTGTTGGACAAGCTTTTCTTCAATTGGCGTTACCCCTAATCTATCACGTATATCACTGTTCCGAACTCGATCCCTTCTTGTATGACCACAAATCCAACGCAACATACGCATTTCCGCGACACTTAGCTGTTGAACATGTCGTCTTTTCGTAGGCCAACATTCTGCACCATACAACATAGCAGGTCTAATCGTCGTCCTATAAAACTTGCCTTTTAGCTTCTGTGGTACCCTTTTGTCACATAGGACACCAGACGCTTGCCGCCACTTCATCCACCCTACTTTGATTCTATGGCTAACATCTTCATCAATGTCCCCGTCCCTCTGTAGCATTGATCCTAAATATCGAAAGGTATCCTTCCTAGGCACTACTTGACCTGCCAAACTAACATCTTCCTCCTCCCGAGTAGTAGTGCAAGTCACATCTCATATACTCGGTTTTAGTTCTCTTTGAGTCTAAAACCTTTGGACTCCAAAGTCTCCCGCCATAACTCCGCTTTTACGATTCACTCTGTCCGGCTTTCATCAACTAGCACTACATCGTCCGTGAAAAGCATACACCAAGGGATGTCCCCTTGTATGTCCCTTGTGACCTCATCCATCACTAAAGCAAACAAATAAGGGCTCAAAGCTGACCCTTGATGTAGTCCTATCCTAATCGGGAAGTCATCCGTGTCTCCATCACTTGTTCGAACTCTAGTCACAACATTGTTGTACATGTCCTTAATGAGCCCGACGTACTTCGTTGGGACTTTATGTTTGTCCAAAGCCCACCACATAACATTCCTTGGTATTTTATCATAAGCCTTCTCCAAGTCAATAAAAACCATGTGTATGTCCTTCTTTTTCTCCCTATACCGCTCTATAACTTGTCTTATTAAGAAAATGGCTTCCATGGTTGACCTTCCGGGCATGAAACCAAATTGGTTCACAGAAACCCGCGTTATTGCTCTCAAGCGATGCTCGATAACTCTCTCCTATAGCTTCATAGTATGGCTCATCAACTTAATTCCCCGATAATTAGTACAACTTTAAATATCCCCTTTATTCTTGTAGATCGGTATCAATATACTTCTCCTCCACTCATCAGGCATCTTGTTCGATCGAAAAATATGGTTGAACAGCTTGGTTAGCCATACTATAGCTATGTCCCCGAGGCATCTCCACACCTCAATTGGGATACCATCTGGTCCCACCGCCTTACCTCCTTTCATCCTTTTCAACGCCTCTCTGACCTCAAATTCTTGGATTCTCCGCACAAAGCGCCTATTGATGTCATCAAAAGAGTCATCCAACTGAAAGGTTGTGTCCATATTCTCACCATTGAACAATCTCCATTAAAGTGGCTAAGTTTTTACATTGGCTCGCCACGCCTAACACAACCCTCCTTACCAGGACTTGGGACCTGCTATGCTGGGACACCAAAGGCGCCCATACATCCTTCTACATTTTTACTTATCACTTTGGATACTGACAGATCTCCAATAAACAAAATTTTGACCATTAATTGTTCTAAACATTTGGTAGTAGCAAAACATATGGCAAATAAAAATATTGACACTATTTCTTTGAGAAACCATGTAATTTCATTTTGAAATGACAGCAGAAATTTGTGTATATTAATGTTATAAAAGACACTATTTAAGTTTGGCTACATGCATAAATGGTTAGAATAACATAATGGAAGAAGTGAACTTACAAACTGATAAGGAAGCACGTGGCCCCTTCCTATCTGCTGGTTCATTGTTTGTCTCAATCTTAACTTGCGGCCTGCAATTTCCATGCAACAAAATTGAATGCCTTACCATATGAGTGAAAGTGAAGCTACGAGGTCAATTCATTTCATTGACATTCATAACCAACAAAATTCATAAAAATAGATTAAATAAAATAGGCGCATTTGGATAATCCCTAGGGCAGGCCAAGTGAGCATACTTTGCATATTTTTTTTTGTTGGGTGGATAATCACCGTGAAAGACTAAGTCACAATATGAGAGTATTGTTCCTTAGCACATTTAAGTGGATTGTACATTAGTTTATGGCATGAATATAACTGAAACTGGTTATGTATAAGGATTCTAATGGCTTGCAGTTTACTTAATATTACATATTTACATCACATTGGCATAAGTTACATAATACACATATCTTGCCTGGTAGTGTTTTTTAGAAAACTCTTACCTTGTAGTGTTAGGTCCATCTACTCTCTTTATCTCCTTTTTCTTTTTTTTGCTAGAACCATCACCACCAGTTGGGTTGCTGCTATGTGCCTGTATCAAAATGAAAGAATATATCTAATGTACGGTATTACGGAAAATGACAAATAAACTTATGTTAGCACTGTTTTATTCATGCCATAATTAATTTTGCATTTCATCATACGTGTATATTTCTTTCTTGGTGTGCCCACATACTCAATAATATGGGTCAGACCCATAATGAATCCTCTCCCAGCTACATCTTGTTGACTTGTTATCATAGTAGTTTTCTACCTTCACTGTGTGACGGTGATACTCTGGTTGGGGTTTCACTGGGACTGAGGATGAAGGAGCATCCACAGTCCTATCCTCAGTGATGATGCGATCTATGGTAGTGCCAGGGACAACAGAATTTCACACACAAATCCTATTGCAGGAACACCTCATGGGCCACCTGGAATAGGTTCTTATTTTATTATCAAATATAGACCAAACAAATTGGCCAGAGTTTACTGTGTTATATACCAATTATCCTAGATTTGATGTTAATTAAACCTGAACCACCCGCTGGCTTCAAATAAAAAAGCAACTCTATAAGGAAAAATATCAATCAGAGCATGGGGCATCCTTTTCTATGAAATCAGGAAAACTATGATAATGATTGTCCCCAAACAACAAAACTATGACAATGATTATTCATATATATGTTAATCATATGGAACAATACCTTGTTGACAATGCTAGGGCCACCTTGTCCGATCACACTTTTCACTGGAATAGACTTGTCTGAGCCTATATATAGTAATACAAATGCAGTCTAGATTACAAAAACATGATACCTTTAAGAGAAGTTACGAGTAAGAGGTTCTAGTGTTCAATTTAAGGAGCAGAGTACAAAACATGTTATGATGATATGGGACTAGCTAGCTAGCTGGCCATGGCATGCCGGCCTAACCAGGAATGCACCAAAGAGAATTATGATGAAAAGATAGATACATCCTTCAACATTTTTACCTCTCTCTTTGGATACTGACAAGATCTCCAATGCACAACTTAATCAAAAACTTATGGAGAACACATACTATTTTTTTCATGACAAACCATGTAATGTCATTTTCAAACAGCAGAAAAAAAAATTATGTATACTAATGGTAAATGACATTTTTTTAGTTTGACTACATGCATGTTAAACAACATCAATTTGGGAATGATCAGAGAAGATGTAATCTTACCGTCTGATAAGGAAGCACGTGGCACCTTGCTATCCATTGGTGCATTGTCTTTCTCTGTCTTAAATTCCGGTCTACAATTTCCATGCAACGAAAACGACTTACTTACCACATATGAGTGAAAGTGAGGCTAAGAGGTTAAGTGATCAACATTTATAACAAAAATAAATAAAAATAGATAAAAGAGGCACATTTGGATAATCCCTAGAGAAAGCCAAGCGAGCATACTGCTAGTACAGATCTGTACCTGTACTGGTATGTTCACTTGGCCTGGGCAGGCCAATTGAGCGTACTTATGCAGATACCTTACCTGGCAACAACTGTTTCCTTTGTCTTCCTTTTGTTTTTATTTTGAGACCTAGTATTATCAGTTGAATTAAGGTAGGTCTGCACCAATCTATCCATCTGAATAGCAAAAGAAAATTAAAAAAAAAAGTACATGTAGGCAGTATTACTACAACTATGCTTGCATAAAAACATACTGTTTATTTAGCTTTGTTTTAATAAAACAAGCTAATAATTTTTTGGTACCGTCCTGCAAAATTACTGAGGCACTAGTAATACTGCGATGTATGGTAAGCTAAAACAGCAATACCTCTCGTCGTCGCAGATGAACATCGGGATAAGCAGCACAGATTTCCAAAAGCTTGGCCAACATTGAGCTATTATGGGTAAGAATCTTCTTGATGTCGACCACGTTGACAAGGAGCACCGCATTCAAATTCAGCAAAATATCAATGCAAACCCCGCGCAGCTTATCGGCGATGTCATCGGCCTTGAAGGCACGGCTCACCAAGGTCTTGCGCTCGCACTTACTGACGATCTTGGACGCGCGCTGGAGGGCCTCCTCCAGGCCCTTCGTCGTGTCCCCCATCGTGTTGTCCTCCAGCTCCAGGTACTTGGCGATGGCACTCAGTGTGTGCAGGAGCTCACGGATCCTGCGGCAGTCCTCCGCATTGTGGTCGGCCTTCTCCAGCGCGCTCGTTACCTTGAACCCGGCCTCCAAGATCGTCTTCAGGAAGCTCAGCACATCGGCCATCCCTTCCTCCGTACAAGTTCAATCGATCGGTGGGTCGGTCAGTCTACAAGAAGATCAATCGAAGACACGCATCAATCAATCGAATTGAAACGGCGAGTAATAAAGATCCTTGGAGAATCCTTCCCGCCTTCGAGGATCTTCTCAGGAATGTGCAATCGACTAATCGAGGAAGATTTAATTAATTAATTAGAGTAAGAGCACACGCAAGAAAGAGGCGCACTGACCTGCTTATCATGAACCAGCTCCACCTAGCTAGTCCTAGCCAATCGAGCGATCGATCTCCTCCTCGCTAGACCTAGATCTCTTCCTCCCCGCAGCTCGTCGCTTTTCCTTTTTCCCCTCTTCCAGTGGAAGCCCCGGACTGGAAGTCAGAGTATATATAGGAGGCGCTGCTCTGCTTTGCGTTGCGTCCACGCCGGGCACGACGCGTTTCCTTCTCGCCCCCGACACCCCCTTTTTTCCCACTGAAACAGGGGGTTTGTCGTACAAAAGCGTCGTTGCTTTGCCAGGCCCCTGGGCCCTGGCCGGGACGACGTGGATTTTCTTTTTTTGATAGAAAAAAACCCTACGAAATAGTATATGACCTATACAGTATTTCACACCCTTCTGGAATTCCCATTACAAAATTGATTAAAAGAAAATGGTGCGTCTTTCCTTTGAGGTTAAATACACACGTGTCAACGAGGGGAGCGAGGTCTCCAAAAGTTTGCTTCCGCTCGAAGCATGCATTGTCACGTCTCAGGCTTTATTTAAATTCAAATTCGGGGCCAAAGTTTAGGGGTGTCACATCAAAGTATCACATGAAAGTATTCAGATAATAATAATAAAATAAATTACAAAGTCCTCAGTGTTCCGCGAGACGAATTTATTAAACCCAATTAATCCGTCAGTAACATACGTTTACGGTAGCTTTACTATCGCACCACATTGTCAAATCATGAATTGATTAGGCTTAAAAAAATCGTCTCGCAAATTAGTCGCAATATGTGTAATTAGTTATTTTTTAATCTATATTTAATACTCTATGCATATGTCCAAACATCCGATAGAATAGGGACTAAACTTTAAGGAATGAACTAAACAAGGCCCCAGCAGACTTCCCCTCTGGATTTTTTTATTCAAAATAGTTCTTTAACTAAATACTTTTTTAGTAAATAAACCCTCAACAGAACGATTTCTAATAAATAATGGACTGTCGCATCCAATTTTTTTAAAAATAAAATCATACGTGGTCTCTCCGTCTCATAAAAATGGCCATTCACGTTTCCAATAAGTCAACTATATTTAACTTTAACAAATATATATAACAAAAATTTAATATTTATAGTAAATAATTAGTATTATTGGATAGATCTTTGAATATATTTTCATAATAAATTTATCTAGAGATATAAATGTTGCTAATATTTTCTATAAATCTAGTCGAACTTACAAGTCTTATAGTGACTCTTTTTATAGGACGGAGGGAGTATGTGCTTAGGAAGAGAAGAAGAATACCTAGTGCTTAGACTGACTCCAACAACGTAATCCATATCTGAGACCTATTTCACGGTTTGGGTAATACATAGTAAAAAAAGGTTACATCTCCGTAGCTTCACTCTCCAACAGAGGAGCCTCAAATCCCTGCATCCGCAAAAATATCCGAGCTCCCACTTCACTACAGCTGCTACCATTCGGCGGCCTCCACCGGCTGCGACGCCGCCACAGCCGGAACGCCGCACCTGCGCCCTCCACTGGCCACGCGGCGCGGCCCCGCAAGGCGCCGCTAAGCCGTACCTCGGCAACGCCGCCGGGCCGCGTGCGGCCCCTCAGCAGCACCGGTCCGCCTCCGCCTGTCTCGGCTGCGGTCGCGGGGCCCCGCAACAGCGGTGCCTTCACCCTCGCACGCTCCTGCAGCGGCGCCGCAGCAACGCCGCTGGGGCACGACGTGGCCCCGCAGCTGCGGCCGTCCGCGTCCGGCCATCTTGGTCCCGTGCACGTTAGCTGCCGAAGGAGATGCAGAGCTTGGTCCCGTGCTTGTCTGGGCTGGCACACGGCGGCTGCATCACGAGGCACCTACGATGGCACTACGGCTGCGTCACCAGCGCCCTGCGTGCGCCACGAGGACGAGCAGCAGGGGCAATGGAGATGGAAGAGCAATAGCAGGTTCAGTCGTGGTGGCCTCGACGAGCTCCGCGTCGTGGTGGCCTCGTCCGCCGACGCCGCGCGCGAGGCCATGCGGATCCCCGGCGCGGACGCCAGACGAGCGCACGCGGTGCCCGAGCGCGGGCGAGAGGGGTCGGCGCGGGCGCGGCGGCGCTGCCGCCGTTGGCGAGCGGTGCCGACGCGAGCGAGTGCGGGACGATATTTGCGTCCGAGGAGAGAGGGCATGCTTTTTTGCGTAGCGCTTCGGTTGATAGCCAAAATGGGTCGTCTGTCTGGGTCAGCCGTTGGAGACTATTTTTGATAGGCAAAGCAACTGTGCGTAACCTATTTTGGGTTTGGCTCCTCTCATTGGAGACAGTTTTAGGGCAGCTAGCTTCAATCAATGGCAACTTATGAGCTACTTCAAACCCTATTGTTTTATATTTTAATAGAAGAGGGAGAAAAACTGGTTCTTTATCAAGGACTAGTCACATGTACATATTTTAAGATTACTTAAGGATGTGATGCGAGACTATTCATGTTATATGAGCTATATGTTAAAAGTTTGTATTATTAAAAAGGTTAACTTAGAGCTAATAAGCAGTAACTAGTTCATATTATCGACGTATCCCTGTATCTCGTGATTTTTTTTCTTCTGAAAATTATATCCCATATATCTCGGTCCGAGCGCTGAGACCGAAGTAGTATACCGAGCGATCGTATACGCCTAAGGACTGACTCTCTCTAGTGGTTTCTCTTTCTCTTATTATTTTTTCTTTTTCTCTTATTTTTCTTTTCTTTTCTTTTCTTTTACAGCTTCAAGAATAAACTACGTTGCACCGATTTTCTTTTACAAAATCCGGCTGCGGTCCGGTCCAATTGTCCAAGCACGATGGGCCTACTCGTTCGCTGTCGCTCAGCGCACTACGGGCCTCCGTATGCTACCTAGTTATTTGGCCAAACGGCACGAAACTGTGATACCACACATGCTACCGTGTTATTTGGGCCAAATACCACAAAACTTTTCTTTTCTTTTATTATACCTTCGAGAAATAAACTACTGCTAAGTGCTAACGGGGTCTCGCAAAAAAACGATAATGCTCCTCTCAGCACCCTCGTCCGTGAGTCTGCATCCGGACGCGGCTTCCCAAGAGCGGGCTCCAAACAAAATAATCCCCATTCGGACAGCCTCCCACCGCTCACTCTCGCACCGTGCCAGTCGCCCTCGCTTTCTCCTCCTCATTCTTATCTCTTCCGCGCTCGCGCCCTGCCCCACCCCAATGCGGCCATGGCTGCCTCCCTGGCCGGCGGCGCCCCTCACCCACCCCAGCATGCGCACTGCCCCACCCCGGCGGCTCCTTCCCCCACTCCGACAGCGCCCCTCCTCCCCACCCCGGCGTCCTCACCCACCGAGAGTGCCCAACGCCTGTGGATCCGGTGGCCCTTTCCCTCACCTCGGCGAGATCCATGGATGTGGCGCGACGGTGTTGCAGGGAGTGGGCGGCTCTCGCCCCCTCCCCGGCGCGGCGCCCTCTCTCACCCTTGCTACCGAGCTCCCCCACCCCGACGGCCGGAATCGACCGGCCTAGCCTTTCCCTCCCCTATGTTGCATATAAATGTTTCAGGCGTTTCAGAAGTATGTTGCATTTGTTTCATATAGATATTGTAAAAGTAGATCGGGGGATGTTGCAATTGTTTCAGAGGCATGTTGCAAGCGTATGTTTTGAGTGCTTCAGATGTTTCAGAGGTATGTTTCATCTGTGTTTTTCGGACGCATGTTGCAAGTGTGTTTATCTGGATGTTGCATATGTTTCACACATACTTTGCATGTGTTGTATTTGGATGTTGCGTATGGTTGCAATGGTTTTCAAGTGTTTTCAGGTGTTTTTTTTTCAAGTGTTTCAGCTGCCTTCAGACGTATGTTGCAACTGTTGTATTTGGATGTTTCGAAAATAGATCGGGTATTGCATATCTCCTCCCCACCTTCTACTGCATCGTCTCTCCCGGCGCCGGCAGGGCATCCATACTATGCCGCGACCAGGTCCTTCCGAATCAGAGGCACTGCGCGCCCTTCCTCTCTTGTCGCTCGGACGGCGCAGACCCCGCGTGGAGCGTGAATCGGAGTGCAACGCGTAGACGTCTGGACACCAGCGTCCGTTCGGACGTCTGGGCGCAGTACTACCGAAAAAAAAACAAATCTACCAGGCCCATGACATTGCAATGAGACTCCCATTGAGACTGGCCTTAGAGACAGAAGCCGCAGTCCTAGAGTAATGTAAATATTAAGTGTATGACACATGTGGCCCCATGGGGACCAATGGCCAAAGGGCCTTATATGTTGTATGCTAGTTGCTTGTGTAAGACAATTATCGAAATTATTTTCAATAGAACAAGAGAGACAGAGGCAGTCCTTTGCTCCGGTGACTGTGTCCCATGATCTCCCTTGTTTGCTCACGTTGTTAACGACTATCGCCGGCGGCAAGGGGTGTTACAGTAAGGCACATGGGTGTACAACCTAATATTTAAAAGAAAATCGAAGCTCGTGTACATGCATAGGCTTGTAATTTGATAACAAATAGCCAAATAGCTCAAAGTGGTTCTCGGTTTCGCACAACAGGAATGGAAGAATAAGGATCCGCATACCTGGTGGGTGCACGGTGCTGGTCCCCGACGAAGGACGCCATGATGGCCTGACGAAGGGACCGACAAAGGTCCGGGCATCTAACCAGGGCGCCGGCGGTTTGCCTTACTGCTAAGCTGGTAGCTGCTACACGCGAGAGGAAGACAAGGAGAGTGCACGCGGTACACGACAGAAGAAAAGGAAGGGGCCAAATTGTAATTTCTTGTTTTTAAATTTGACCCTTTTGTATGCTTATTACAGCCCGCTTGATCCCTAATCGCGCGTTAGCAACAAGTCGGGCGCACGCCTACTTCAAGGTGACCAGGCCCATGATCCTATCATCTTCTCAAACAAAAATGCAAGTTTTTCATTGATGACCTTTCAGGTCATCAGTTAACAAAGTTTCAGAATGTATGAAAATTTTGGGTAGCTATATTGCCAAATTGAAAAGATTACACCATGAGCAGCTATGAATCATTTGTTTGTTTTTATTACAAGTCAAAATCACTAGAGCTTATATGTAAACCCACCCACAATCGCATTAGGCAGCAACAAGGGCGAACACAAAAATATATCTTGGGGGTGCTCATCTCCCTTCTTTCTCCAGCATCCCCTCTTCTTCCCCTCCCTTTTCTTCCCTCTTCCCCTCTCTTTTAACTCCATAGAGCTCCGGCGGGTAGGGGGGCTTGAGCCCCAATAGCCCCCACACTGGATCCGCCCTTGGGAACCAGAAGAATGCCGTAGTAGAGCCCTGCATGGTGAAGAAAAAGTCCGGCCAGAAGAATGCCGTAGTAGAGCACTGCGTGGTGAACAAGAAGTCCGGCTGGATGCAGCTTGGACAATGCGAGTCCGACGTTGCCGCCGTCGATCATAAGGCCGAAACTCACTAGCGCTCCCCCGAGTTGATCGATGCTTGCACAGCTGTCCTGTGGAGAGCAGATTCGTGTTGTATTAGTGGAGTGTGGGTGTGTTAGTCGATCAACTGTGCGTACGGAAGAGCATGCATCCCGTGGCGGATCTAGGAATATTTTTAGGAGGGGATGAACAAAAGCGCTACGGCGATATAACTCCCCCACCCCCCCCACCCCCGTGCGCGCGCACACGCAAAAGACAAATGTAATAAGTTTGAAGTAGTGTTATAACCCCTACAAAAGTCAAATATAAAAGTTTGAAGTTGTCTTATATATCAAAACACCGATGAACAATAAAAATCACAAAATAAATCATGGAAATAAAGGAAAGGTTACAAAAGTTTCTTGGACGGATGGAATACGTTTTACATTGCCGACATGATCTTGCTGCACACACGTTGGTCCCCAAGAATCCACATATTGGTCGACGTGAGTTACGCCGTTTTGGACTAGACTACAAACTCGGGGCGCGGATGCATGCGCGCGCGCGCATAGGTTTGTAATGGGGATTACAAAAGTTATCAAAAATATTCATGAAACATCCCGACGGGAATGATATATACCACATCATTTGGTAGTGATTCCATCACGTGATGAAGAACAGAAAGGAAAAAACAGGGACATCTATCAGTACCGGAGAAGAATCCCCAGTGCCTTGCCGTACTCGATCACGTCCCCGTATATCGCATCCAGGGTGTTGTACTTGAACTCGAACCCCTCCTTCACCAGCTTGGCGGACGAAAGGCTCGCTCTCGGCTTCTCCAGGAGCTCATCGTCACCGGACCTGCAAGTTTATTTTACAATAAATACTGTCCGCATGCATGGACAATGCAACCATTATTTGATCATCCTCCAAACAATTAAAGCAATAATTTTAGCTTACTGCTTTATGTTCACGTGGTACTGTGGGTACTGTTCTGCCAGGAACCGGGCGATCTCGACGACGGTCGTGCCGACGCTGCTGCAGATGTACCTCCCTGACGACGCCGTCGCCATCTCGGCGAGGAACACCTCGGCGCGGCAGAGGTCGTGCAGGTGGATGACCGGCACCGCGCCGAAGGACTTCTCGATGCCTTTCAGCATGGCCAGCGCTGCCTCGTCACCGGATAGCATGGAGAGGCTAGCCCGGACGCTTGCGCACGCCTTGGGCGCCGGCGACGCGCCCACGGTGAGGACCGGGCACACGACGACGAGGCTGATGCCGTGGTCCTGCGCGAACCTGAACGCTTCCTTCTCCGCAAGCACCTTGGAGATGACGTACCCCTGCAATGCAGCCCAAACACACGGCAAGCATGCATGCTTTCAGTGATATATACACTGACTGACTGACTTTATGTGCCATGAGCATATTATTATAGGACCAACAGACATTGGGAGGCGGTTAGAGCTCTCGCCCTTCCCCACGCCACCGACCACCGCCGCGCCCCCATTCCGGCCGATTTCTCCGGCGATCTCCCCGGAAAACGGTGGGATTATACTCAGCGTCATGCGCTGAGTCGTCCTCCCTGTTTTCCCGTATGATTTCGTGGCCGAGAGCGTGAGATGGGGAATCGCAGGCTCACGCTTGCGGCGCCCCTTTCATTCTCTCCCCATGAACGAGGCTTCGAGTCCGAGGATGGTGCAGTCCCCGGTGAGCTCGGGGAATCATAGAGGTCCTACTCCTTCGTCGCAGAACAGAGTTAGCAATAAGAGATTCTACTCTTCTCTGTCGAATCCTGATAGAATTGAGCCAGAGGTCTTAGAGATGGAGTTGCCAGAGTTCTTGAGGGGAGGGGATCCCAATTTTGGAGATCTCTTCTAGACTTGAGACCCTGGTATCAAAAAGGTAGAGTTATTGAGGTTAAAGCTGGTCACCAAACTAGATTTTGGTTAGATTGTTGGCTTGGTGACTGTCCTCTGAAAGTTAGCTTTCACAAATTGTTCATGATTTCGAGTAATCCTGCTATAGAGGTAGCAGATGCATTTGTGAATGGGCAGTGGTGTCTTACATTCAGAAGACAGCTAAATGAAAGTCAGAGACATGAGTGGAACACCTTACAGGAATTACTTAGAGATGTACAGCTGACAGAAGGGCCGGATAAAGTTTTATGGGCACTAGAAAGATCTCACAAATACTCTACAAAATCTCTTTACAATGCAATGACAACGGGGGAGTGATTGACGCTAGAATGATGATGGTTTGGAAATGCCCCATCCCACTGAAAGTCAAAATTTTTGTTTGGATGGCGGTCCATGATAGATTCAATGTGGAGTTCAGTTAAAAAAGAAAAGATGGACAGGGCCTGAGAAATGTTTGGTTTGTGACATTCATGAAACAACCGACCATATACTTTTTCATTGCCCTATGGCAGTTTTCCTCTGGTCGTTCCTCCGGGACTGTCTAGGCTGGCCGCGTTCGCCAACTAGCTGCTCATCCCTCTTTTTAGAGATATTGGAAAGCTGTCGAGGTAAGAAACAGACGGTAACCTTGTTTATCTGTGCAGGAGCTTTGTGGTCGATCTGGAAGTCCAAGAATGAGATGGTGTTCAACAAGAAGGTCCTGTCCTCACCGGTGGCGCTTGTCTACAAGACCCTGATGCTGACCAAGACTTGGCGTCCCATCTTGAAGCCAAAACTGAAGCCTATGGCGGAAGACATGATAAATCTGATTTCGGCTCAGGCTACGGCTGCGATATAGCAAAACTTGTGTTCTCTCCTTGGATTGTTAGGCGTGTCTAAATGCCTGTGTTTTGTTTCTTAGAATCTTTTGTTGAACTCTCTTGAGTCCTGCTGGGTTGTTAGTTAGAGACTTAGAGTTAAAACTTGGATAGGTCGAGTTAGCTGGTTCCCCGCTTATGCGTTCTTTGTAAAGCTGGTGTCCCCAGCGCCGGACCAGGGTGTTTGATACGCTTTCTAATAAAGCCGGGTAAATGCCTTTGATCTAAATGAGCATATCATTATACATACCCAGGCTGGTGGCTTCTCGGCGGTGACGTAGTCCAGGTCGGACCAGGAGTGCTCGTCCAGCACGTGCCCGTCGCCCTCCAGCGGAGCGATGCAGATGGAGGAGGCCGCCGAGGTGAGGACAACGCGCCTCACCGTGCCGGCTTTCAAGCACGACCGCAGCACGTTCAGGGTTGCTCGCACGGTCGGCTCGATCTGCTCCTTCTGCCGGCCCGCCGTCACCATGCATCATTCACCGCTCACCATCAGTCAAAAACACTACGCAGCGCATGCAAAAGGCTCACCGGAGGTCCACCGTACCTCCGGATTCTCGGACGTGAGGTTCACCGGAGCCGCGACGAGGAAGGCGTAGTCGCAGCCGGCGAGGGCGTCGTCGAAGCTGCCTTCGTAATCCAGGTCGGCGTGGAGGACCTCCAGGGGGCCCAGCGCCTGCAGCTCCATCAGGTGGGAGTTCTTCTCCATGTCATCTGCATGCGTTGGTTCAGATCGATTGTTCGTTACGTTTGCTAATTAAGTATTATTCATGTTCAACAACTATTGAATTTACATACTGGAGCGTACGTTAGCAGGGAAGGAAGCAAATGAAATGCAAACCTGGATTTCTGACAGTCGTCTTGACGGCGTAGCCCTTCTCCAGCAGCATCTTCACCAGTGCCGAAGCGATGTACCCGTTCCCTCCGGTGACGCACGCCGTCTTTCCCTTCACAGCAGCACCCGCGCCCGCCGGCATATTGTCGTCGAGGCAGCGGCGGGCGGCTGTCTACAAAATTGTCGTCGATCGGGGCGCCGCCGACGAAGCTGACACCTCGTCGATCGCCTCGGGTGTGGCTGCCACACACGCACGCACGCAGCCCACACAGAGAAAAGTGAAGAAGGCACCCAAATGGATCGGTATAGATTGCGGCATCATTAACCGTACGGATGCACGTGTTCAGGGGGAACGAAAACGTGCACTAAACTGATCGAGTGGACAGGCAGGTTGAAGTTCTCAACGTCAAATTTGTTTTATTCCAGCATCTCACATGGTTCTGGTTGTAATGCACGTGTAGAGGTACTAGCCTTAAAATCGACCGTAAGGTTTAAGGGATTTGATGGATTGTCCGTGGGTCCCTATGAGTATTTCTTTTTATATAAGACCACGCATGCGTATTTCAAGACTCAAACAAACATTTCTAGTCTTGAACAACAATTAGCCTTATTAACTTAATTTTTTGTCGACAAATGAATGCCAAAATGTCAATATCAAAACCTCATACTCCCTCCGTCCCAAACTAGTTGACGCTTTATGATCCAAATTTTGCCCTAAAGTAGTTGTCATTCTCACCTTCCAATGCACCTTTCTTTTTCTCCCGATACACCTTTTTTTTCTTTTTCCAATACATTTCTTTTTCTACCTTTTAAGGGTATTTTAGTATTTTGTCTTCTACATTTGTCTCCGTGAAAGAGTCTAAAACACCAAGTATTATAGTATGGCAGGAGTATGCCTTTTATGATTTCCTCATAGTCTTGGAAGACAAAAATCTGTTTCTCCCCTAGCCCTAGGTCATAGGCATCAAAATCATCTAAACCGTGATTATTGCCTCATTGGTACGAACACGTTTTGTCTTTATTTTTTGTCCTCTTCATTAATGTTGATGGTGACACCGCCCAAAATTTTTTGTCACAAACATGGCTAAAGAGCGTCTTGGTGTTTTTAGGGCTAAGGTGACATAATAGGTTAAGGTCACGAGGTGTGGAGCATGAAGGACGAAGGAACGGTGTGGGGATCGAAAGTCCTTCAATGATTTTCTTTGGTGTGCCAAGATATTGGTGCTTGATACGGATAGCTCTTGTACATCTGCGTAACATACCTCATGTAGTTCTTTTTAATTTTTTATTACAATGGCAAAAAACCAATTGTAATGCCATTTGATTTGAATTTACACACTTATCTCTTTGTATATTTGAATATGCATTGATTGTTTGGTCATTTACACACTTATGTCTTTTGAATATGCATTGAATTTACATGGATCAATGTGGTATTTTTAGCTGTTGAGAATGAAAAAAGTTTGACTTCTTTTTTACTTTACTTATAGTAACATGCCAACTCTTTATTTATGTATTTTTCCCCAACATATGGACCACTACTACATTTTTTGTAATTTCTATCACCGGGTTTGATATTTTCTAATTCTATTTTTACAATTTATTTAGGTATTTTTCTTGAATTTAGATATTCAACTATTTTTATTCAAAATTTTCCTTTCCTATTTGGCGTTTACCATAGACTTCTAATTTAAATATTTTCTTAATTTATCATTTAAAATTTACTATTGATTAATTGAATTAGGCCTGGACTGCCGCCGCTGCTTTAATTTGAGCCGTTAGATAATAAATCCAACAGTATAAATCATTTTATTTTTGTCAATTACTATGGTAATTTTTAGGGTCTCTCGATGAACGTGATGGGCTGTCCATGTGCTCTAACGTATGGGCTGGGCCCTATGTTTCTTGAGACGAATATGTGTTGGGCCCTTTTTTGAGACGAATATTGTTGGGCCCTTTTTTTGAGACGAAGATGGGCTGGGCCCTTAAGGCTGGTATCATCTACAGCATGCAGTCCAATTTATCACTGATGCTGACGGCATTGCTGTCGTCTATGAAGCTGAAAAGGAGCAAGGATGATCTTTTGGACATTGGAGTGTTCATGTAACGTCCTAGGGCTTGTTTAGATTGCCTCAAAATTCCAAGTTTTTTCACTTTCTCTCCATCACATCAATTTTTGGACGCATGCATAGAGCATTAAATATATGTAAAAAAAATAACTAATTACACAGTTTGGTTGTAAATCACGAGACGAATCTTTTGAGCCTAGTTAGTCCATGATCAGACAAAGTTTGTCAAATACAAACGAAACGTGCTACAGTGTCCAGATTGTAAAAAATTGCAATCTAAACAAGGCCCTAGATGTTAAAAAGCAATTGAAACCTTGATCATATTCATCATCATGCATAATCATGAAGTATTAAGACATAAATGCACTGCATATTTTAATTATAGCATTCATAGGTTGCATATGTGTTTAGATGTGCTTGCATGAAATGTTATGAAAAACATTAATTAAGGTTCTTTGTGATTTTATGGTTAGAAATTTCCTTAAACAACTAAAATTTTTCCAATATAAATTTTGCAGTGATAGTATGCTCTTAAATATAGAACAAAGATTTGTTTGAATTTCCAAGTCAAAAATGTTTAAATTTGAGATCAAATTTTGAATTCTAAACAAGTTTTCCAAACTTAACCATTTGTGGTTAAGTCCCTGAAAAACAGTGTTAAAGTTCCAACTTTGGTGAATTATTAAATCAATTTTCATGAATAAAATTTGTACAACTTTTGTTTCATTATTTGGTGTAATGTTTGAGCTTTGATAATGAGCAATTGGTTGATTTATTTGATCACTGTTTAAACACTAATTAATTAGTTAAAGTTACTAATCAAAAATCAGTTTTACAAAACCCAAACTGAATTCCAGTTTTCAGTTTGAATGTGCTTGTGTTCTATCCTCTTGATCTCTCTCTATGTCGACCTTTTGACGTTGGTCATTAAAGCAAAGTTGGAGATCTCATGAAGATGAACAACTTTCATTTTTGGAGATGATAAAGTTTTTGCAAGAAATCAAGAGAAAGAGGGAGGAACTTGAGCCGTCAGTGATGAACAGTAACACCGGGAAGGCGGGAAGAGCTGTCTGCCTGCTTCACCGCTGTGCGCTGTCCGTGGCGCCTTCGCGACGTTTCTCCGCGCGTGGCCACATCTCCGTCTGCGTCATCGCTCGAGCGGGAGTTGGAGAAGCCCAGAAGCGTCCTCCGCTCCATCCGCCCGACGTGTGTCCTGGCCGCCGCTCGTTTGCTGGACGTGGACGCCGAGCCGAGCGCCCTCCCTTCGCTCGGTCTCTCTTTCTCTCCCTTTGCCGCCGCCTATGTCTCGCCTCCGGAATTTTTCCTCGAGCCCACAGCCACCTCCACCCTGCCATGACATGCCTCTCCTTTCCTCGCCCTAGCTTCCCCTCGCTCTGTGCTGCTGCTGCGCGCGGCCGCGGCGACCATGGCCGCCGGCACAGCAGCGCCTGTCGTCCCAGCTCCCGTTTGCCTCCAATCCAGCCGAGCATCACCTCGCCATCCCACGCCTCTTGCGCGCGCTCGCCCGGAGGAACCCAGCCAGAGATGATCCACCGTCGCGGACGGCCGTGCGAGTCAGGGACGGAGATAGAGAAATATGGAGGGGGGGTGCGGCCGTGCGGGCTTCTTGCTAGCAATTACTTAGATATATACGATGTTCATACTATACGCTATCTTAATAGCGCTACGGACAAGATTTTAGCTCAATAATTAACACAAACAATATTGATATATACCAACACTGAAATAGCAGTAACAGTGCTTAACAGTAAACAAAATATAGTTAGAGAATGCCACAATTATTAAAAAGAAAGCTTGTTGGCATATTGAAGTAAAGAAAAAAGAAGGAACCATTCAATTTTAAGCAAAGAGTTAATAGAATGATTCGTTGAAAAAATAAAATCACATCTAAAATGTAGAGGGAAAATTGGTGGCCAGGATCTCTCAAATCTCTAGAGCTAGACTATCTTCCTAGAATTTTTGGACCAATATATATCCATCTTCTGTTTCTAACCATGTAATACCTTTGCACTGAGACTGTATGATGTTTTCCTTCGGAAAACCTTTGCATACTTTTCCTAACATTCACAAAAATATCTATATTTTAGTGGATTTAGTTGCTTTCATATCAATTACCAAATATGAGAGAGAGAATAAAAAAGCATGACCCTAGAATCTGGACAAACTACCAACAAGAAGCTAGGAACTACAAAATTGCCGATTGCTGGAAGTCAAAAAAAATAAAGAATCAAGTTGCTTACTTTGCCTTGCGGTCAAGATTGAATAGAAAATAGAGCAGGCGGTGGGCGCACTGCATTCCTAGACTCCTGGTGCCCGTGCTCGAGCCCCGAGTCTTTGGTCTGGCGAGTAGTCGCTCGGCGGTGCTTGGCAGATCTTGTATTTGCCGTCGTCCAGCCGATCATCTGCCACCGGACTTCGCGCCACTAAGCGTCAAGGGGAGAGAATAGACGCGGGACTACGGGAGGGGAGGCGACGCGTGACGGCGTGAGTTGAAGCGCCGCCCGATGGTTCCGTGCGGAGGTGTGGTGGCTGATGTTTGGCTGCCTGTTGGGCCATTATTGGGCAGCTGTGGGCTCCATCTCGGTGTAGATTATTGTGCGAGAGGGGTGCGAATACGGTAGGAACCTATATCGTACATCATATTTTGCATATTGGTCTAGGTGCGGCTGCACCCAGTCGAACCTATATGGATCCGCCCGTGGTGCGAGTGCCGCCACCGTCCGCCGTACGTGGCTAGGCGGCCACGGGTCGCTGTGAGCCACGGCGGTCTCCATGCAGTGCGGCCATCACTTCCGCCCGCTGCGGTCAGCCCTCCCCTCACCGCCATCGGCCGCTCCCGGCCATCATGGGTTGCTTGCTGCTACATCTGCGTGCTCTGCTTTCGTGAAGAAGAAGAAGAAGAGAGGAGGAAAAAAGGAAATAGAAACTCTTCCTTGGTTCCAGATGCTTAATAGCCAGAGAGAAGGTTTTTCAGATCGAGACTTCGTTGATTAGTTAAAAATGCAGGGTCCCTGATGCAAATGTGTTTTTCTTTTTCCTGTTTATCTTTTTC